GCAAGCAATGTCAACATACGACATAGCACGAATGTCGCAGTTTTCCCAGGTGATGGCAAAAATACCACCGTCATTCGATGGAAACACCTCGTGGCTTGCGTTTGAATACGCAGTTGATGGATTGGTGTGATATTGCAGAATGGAATGATGAAAACAGACGAGAGGACTTGCTCCCAGAAACAGGGTTGAGGGAGATGCAGCAATTTACAATAAAGATCCTGGATCGGGATCTCCTCAAAGGCAAAGAGGATGGTGTTGCGTATTTCGAATGGACTTGGAGACCCTTCTTTGAATCTCCTATGAGGATCTTCTGACTTGATTCCATGACCGAATCGATTCCATCGACATCGATCTATCGATTTGAGTTCCAGCGATCTACGGCGATCCTCCGATTTCCGACCTCCCACCCTCCCACCCTCCCACCCTCCCACCTCCCACCTCCCTCACCTCTCACCCACCTCCCACCCTCCCACACTCCCACCATCCCGTCACCCTCCCTCCATCCGAGAGTGGAGGGGGCGGTGGGCGTGAGATGAGTGGAGGGTGGGAGGTGGGGTGGGGCCTCCCACCTCTCACCTCCCACCCTCCTCCTGTCTGTCTCTCTTTTTCTCTTTCTCTCTCTCTCTCTGTCATCTGCCTTCCATCCTCTTCCGCCATTTCCCACCCTCCCATCTCCCACCTCACCTCCCGCCTCACCTCCCACCTCCCAGATGCCAGAGGTGGAGGGATGTTGGGGTTTGGTTGGTGGAGGGTGGGGGTGGAAGGAGCTGGTGGGGGTGGGAGGGTGGGCGGGCGGGAGGAAGGGTGGGAAGGTGGGAAGGTGGGAGTGGGAGGTGATCGATGCGATCATCGATCCGATTCGATACCGGTGTTTGCCCCTGGCTGGGCATGTTGACGAAATGGATTTTTCAAGATTTCAGACACACTTGAAAAGGCTGAAATAAGCATGGTGAGACATGTGGAACTCCATCACAGATCAAGCAGATGATGAAGCGAGAATGTGTACAGAAGGAGTCTCTGTTGCAGAACGGCGTGATATGTCTCCAACCCAAAGCCTTACTGCTGTCGATGAGAGGTACTGCAAACTCCACACATGTCCAGATTGCAGCTGACGCAGAATTTTGACAGGTAACTTACACGGCACTCTGAGAACAGTGACAGGTTCCAAGTTTACAGTGGCCAGCAACTCTGTTGTTGACGTGACAAGCAGTCAAGCTCAGCGCTCTTCAGGGGCTCAGCCACTTCGGCTTTGGGAAGATGTCTGAGGAAGATGTCTGAGCTGCAGCAGCCCTGGCAATCTACCTCATGGGGAAGCTCGTGAACAGAAACAGGTTAGCGCCTTACGGGCCAGCGTAGGGGCCGACTGCCGAAGACCGTAGAGATGCCGTGAGCGACTGCTGCTGAAGGCGGGATCCTAAGCGCCAGCAGTGTTATGAGACTTGCTTATCCGTGTTTTACCATGGGCTTATCAGAAGGGCTTCAGCTGTGGCCGTAGAGCTCTAGCTCGATCCTCTGAAGAGTGGGCGTGTAAACAAATTAATAGGTCTCTCAGTTGCACGGGTAGTCTGTTTACCATAGGGCTTGGAGGTCAACAGGCTCTAGTTACTCTAGTTTCTGAGTGGCACCGGTAGCCTGTTTACATAGGCCTTCAGCTCGATCCTCTGAAGGATGGGCATGTAAACCGATTAGTTTCAGAGTTGGGCGGGCAGTAGGGCTTCAGCTCAATCCTGTGAGCAATGGGTATTTCAACAGAGTACTTTCTGAGTGGGGCGGGTAGTTTAGCATAGGGTTATGGGGCTCCAGCCGTGGCGCTGCGGTCAGAACAAGCCATGGCGCTGCAGTCAATGCCTGCAATGACAAGCCGTGTCTGCTTGCCCAGCAGTGACGCGCAACAACAAGAAGCGCGTGTGCAACTCCTGCTTTGCTGCACGACGATGCAGTCGTTGCGACATGCTTCGCGGACAGGATGAATTCTCCAAGTACCACTGGGGACGTAGTGCTCGCTTCTGCGTGCAATGTGCGTATAAGCCCGGGCAGCTCCAACAGTCTAAACAAGGCTGCCGCAAGCTGTTGTGTTTTGCTCGGGCGCGAACTTTGGTGAGAACGTCCCGAACGAAAATGTGCGTCTGCGCCGGCCGTGAAGCGCCAGATTGCTGTGCTCCTGAAGAGGCGAAAGCAGGCAACGCCCGCAGCAGAAGCCGCGGGCGAGGCGCAGCCACAAGCTACGTCCAACTTGCGGCACAGTTGTCGGCGACACGTAGAAGGATCTCATCAGCTGTTTTCATACGCGTCCGGATGGGCAGCTTTGCGCTACACAACAATGGCGGGATGTGCAAAAGAGAATCACGCGCAGGCACGCCTGTCCTAGATGCGGCGCTACCGTGCAAAGTAGACGTGCCTCGGGGTCGAATCCGCGTCAAGCACATGCGACCGGACGTCAATTGCGGTTCCTGGCACGCCCCGCAACAAAGAAACAAACGTGCCGATTCTCCGCGTACACAGTCACCTCCTAAGAATGTAATACCGTTAGATCCGGATGAGCAACGTCCGGCGCGTGTGCCACATGTGCCGGTGAAAAAGTCTCGCGGGCGGCTAAGGAAGGGCGCGCGGTCCGGTTATCAATCTACCGGGCCAGCAGCAGCTGGCCCAAGCGGACAAACTACCTTCGGTGCGCGACGAGGCGCCGCACCCCGACGCGGCTTTGTCTAACAGCCGGCTGGGCCTTCCAGTTACTGAGGGCGAATTCTGTCCTTTTTTTTCTGAGCCAGACACTTCGGGGGAACAGGCCGCGCCTGATTCGGACTCGGACTCCGATGCCACCACTGACTATGAGGGCCAACGTCTTTCATCCGAGGACGTATTTTTCGCTGTTCCTAAAGGCCAGTCTTTCCCAAATATTCCTCTTTAGGCGATGAGTCTTTCGAGGATTTTATGACCTTGTTGGCGGGGAAAGTTAAGGCCGGGGTCATTACACAGGACATGCAGCGTAAGTACACAAATTCGCCGTGCTAAGCTAGAAGAGTTTAAGAGCTATCTGGACAACGGTGCCATCCGCTTCCTGGATAAGCGTACTCTCAAGTTTGGACCTGGGGGTACTACTTACCTAACAGGCCGTTGTGTTGGTACTGTCAAGGTTGATAAGGATGGTAATGTCTCCAAGTTTAAGGCTAGATGGGTCTGTAGGGGTTTTCAGGATAAGCATGGATGGGAGCAACAAACGGACTCTCCCACGGCTACGCGGTATGGTTTTCGCCTTGTCTATCAACAGGCTGCTAGTTCCTTGTGAGATTTGTTGCATTTGGACCTTAAAGCTGCGTTCCTTCAGGGAGAGCGCTAATTTATCGCGCCGGGCTGTCATAATTCAAATTCCTAGTGACTTGGGTTTGCCTCCTTACCTAGTAGGTTACTGTATGAATAAGTTCATTAGAGCCTGTGGCTTGGTCCCGACTATGTATCTATGTCTGCTATGAAGGAGCCTGGCGAGAGCCTAAGACAGGCTCTTCCAACGAAGAGGAAGCCGTCCTGCCTGGTGAAGGATCCGTCAGTTACCTCCGGCCACGCGGAGGAAAGGTCCGTTGAAGATTATCCCGATATAGCCCACGCGCTGTCTACACGTAAGATTACAGAGTATGCGTGGAGACCTGTGGTAGATGAGGCCCTCCTAAAGTTCTTAGACGCTACTGTAATTCATAAGAAGGGATGGTGTCCCGTCCTAAATGGACAGGCTCAGGTGACCCATAGGGCCAAGGCTCTTAGGACTCCTTTTAGGGTATCATGCATCCTTCGACAAGGTGC